TGCAAAAAAGAGCCAAAGAAAAACCCAAAGGGAGGTGCTGGCATGGCACCTGCGCTCGCCCTGCTTCCTCCACACCCCACAGAGCACACCAAAACCTTATTGGCACCAAATACCATTCCCACACCGCCACCAGTCGTGGTGCTGCTCATTCGTAAAACTCGAGGCTGAAAAGCAAGCCCCTTCCTCGACCCGTGTGGCTGGAGCCAGGCTGAGAGGCACCAGGGCTCAGACCGGGGGCCACCGCCTCCAGCAAGCATCGCCCCCAAAGGCATGGGCAGAGCTGGTCGTTCCCAACCACGCACCAGCCTCCTCCACACCTCTGGCACCATCCCACGTCCCGCTGGTTCAGGGGCTGTCACTAAGCCTCAGTTCTCACAACTCGCACAAACAGGCGACGGCAGTGAGGAGGACCTGGGGAAGCCGACTCGCCGGCGCTCCGCACGCCCCGTGCGCGCTGCTCGTGCAAGCTGCTGCGTCAGCCTCCAGCTCCCTTATCTCACGCGTCGCTGTCAACAAGGAATTACGAGAATTGAATTTTAACAAGCTGCAGACGGAAGCAGTGCCGCGCATCGTGCCCGTGCTGAAGTTCAGTGCCTCGATTAACGCCTGTGTGCCACGGCCCCGCTCGCTGGCGGCCGAGCAGCGTGGACACCTGGAGGAAAGGCTCCCGGCACCCGGCTGTATGGGCTGGGCAAGGCCCTTCCTTCCCTGCTGCAACCTGGAGAGGATAAATATCCAGGTTTGGGCAACCTGGAGAGGTTTATACTGGGGAGGCAGATTTCTCTGCATCATCTGGCCCCAGTGCCAGAGAACGCTGAGCAGCCGGAGTAACGAAGGCTGAGTAACGGGATGAAGGTCTGCCCTTTTGGGGGACGCCCAGACCAACCAGTGATTATCCGAGTGGCCGAATCCAAGAGAAAATTGCATTAACTTTCCCCAAGATTAAGACCAGAGCCTGCCTATACCTCCCTCTCTTGTGAATCTAGCACCAAACGTTTTCACGGTCATGCTGCAAGCTGGGGAGCCAGAAATCCTGGGTCCTGTCCTTCTCCAGCTTCGGAGCTTACTCGAGCTCACTCATCCTCCGGCACTTCATGAAAACTCCCCTGGTCGGGCTTTAAAGGAACGAAAATCTAAATATTATCATAAATCTTATGCTAACCGTGCCAAATGAGACTTCTGAATAGAAAGACTCCGGATGCATAAAGATGCTTTAAATTAACATCCTCAAAACCTAAGGTGTGACGGGGACCTGAAGTGCTGGCTGCAGCCAGATGCTTGAGCCTAAAGCAGCCAGGTGAATATTACTACGACGCATTTATCTCCCAGCACGTGCAGCTGTAGTAGTAACAGCACAGCAAGACCTTGATCTTGCGATACACGCGGTGCAAAAGCACTCCGACATCCAACCGGACTGCAGCATCCGAATTCCTCAGGTTGTGTTACAGCAGCAGCTCTCAGGCTCTGCAAGAACAAAGAACAGCAGGGAAAAGACCCGGGAAGATGAAAATGGCACGTTTGCAGCAGCCCCAGAGGATTATTCGCAGAACAGCGATAGCACCGAGGTAACTGCTCACCTCCTGGGCAGAAGTCAAAGTCTTCGTGTTGTAGCAGTGGAAGTGGACAGAGATCAAGGAGAACAAGAGGACGCTGTTTTAGGCTGCCACGAGCACAAAGGTCCTCCTGGCCCAGCGGCATCCCAACAGCCAGGACGTGACCACACGTGGCCACGATCACTGCGCAGCGAGGAGGAATCCCTTGCTGCAGGAGCAGGGGGCAGCTCCTGCACCCTTTCCAGCCAAATTTTGGCAGCACACAAAAAAAACGCCACCACCGGTGGACCCCGCCACAGAAAGCGCTGTGTGCCACGGAGGCGCTGAAATGGGAAGCGAGATGAGCCAAACGCTGATCGAGGTCTTATTAATAACACTTGGCTATTGATTGCACTTTACATCTTCAAGCGCTTTGCCAACATTAATTAATTAAGGTGTTTTCCATTTAACGCTGAGAGGAGAGCAAAAGCAGCAGGCGAGATGGCCCAAGCGCCTGGCTCAGCACGGCCTGTCCTTGCTCCCCAAACTTCCCATTTCCCCAGAGACCTCGCTGCTGCTCAAAATTATTGAAAACCCTCGCGTCGATTCAGCAAAGGACTTCACCCAGGAGGCCAGAAGCACACCCTGGCATGCCAGGGGGCCACGGAGCCCCAGCAGCTCCAATGCTGTGCCACCCACCCGCATCCCCACCATGGTGCAAACCAGAGCTGGGCCACCGGGTGCTGACACCCAGACCCAGAAGCACCGAGAGCAGCCCCACAAGGAGCCAGCGACACGAATACCGAGACGAATACCGCTCTGCATTCACCTCTGGGTAATGCTACGGCCAAAATAAGTCTCCAGCAAACTTGCTGGTTAAAACGAGGTGCCAGGAGCGAGGGGTTTGGATGATGAACGCTCACGCTCAGGACTGTGACAGCACGCGGCTTCATCCCTACCCCCGTACGCACGCCCACCACCCAGTCCGTCTCTCTCGGCTGAATTCTCCCAGTTTTGTTACAAATTGCAGGAAAAAAGCCCTCGGAGCGTTACCTCCCCGCTGCCCACGTGCGAGCGGAGATGGCACGGTACGGCAGGGAGAAGTCGCGGTTGGCACAAAAGGGGCAGTTATTACCTCGAGCTGTCTCAAGCTGCTCCGTAATTATGGGAATGCCACACTTCACCGAGGCAGCGTTAATTACTGAGCGAGCTGAGCACGGAGGCACACGTTTCCCTCAGCTCACCTAACTCCGGACCGACCCAGCACACACCCACCTGCAGCGGTGGCAGCGACGAGACCACCACGGCCAAAGGCACCCGGGGGGACCTCACCTCGAGCAGACCCCCCCCCCCACCCATCTGAGCACCACCACCAACCCTAAATCCCCTCGGGCTGCTGGCTGCCCACCCCATTTACCAGCCTCCAGCTCTCCCACAGCACGTGGGCTTACACCGAATAGCTCAGCGACCCTCCTACCTACACAGCTCATTCTACTTATTCAGAGTCATTTTCAGCCCATACTTCTGAAATCATCCTAAAAACCCCTGGAGACCAGAAGGCTCCCTACAGACACATCAGGCACACCTAGAGCAGCAGGCACAGGGCAATGTATGAGAACACAGATAAATAATAGTATAAAATTTGGAAAGGAAACCCAGAACGGAGTGAATCGGAAATATTTATTATTTTTTTTTTGCTGAGACCAAGCACTCCTCCCCTGGGCTGGATACGTTGCATTTTAAATACCAGCCTCTTCAACACGTGGGGAAGGGAAAAAAAAACATAGCCAGAGCTACACGGGCTCGGTGCTGGCCCCCAGCACACCAAGATGAAATTTGCCTGCTGACATCTGGAGGCTGGAGCGAGCCCTCCGGGGCCTCCTGCCCTGCCAAAGGCACCGCTCCGGTGCCCGGCCGAGGATGGGACCGCTCCTGGCACCCTACAGCAGCTGGAATTTCCACCGGCACCCCAAAGCAGGTGGGATTGGGGTTATTACACGGGAACACGCACGCTTTGGGGAACAGAGCGCAGTTCTTCAGCACTGTTATAGCACGCCAATTATTTCCCAGCGTGCTGCCAGCAAAGGAAACCAAAGAGGTGCTTTTCCATCGCCCAATGGGTTGAAAAACCTCTGAGGAAGGTAAAAAAAAAAAGAAACCCTGACCCCTGGCAAACCACCCCAAATCCCTCCCTCGCTGGGGCGCGCTGCCGAGCAGAGGCACTGCCCCTCCACGCAAACACACGCGCAGCAGCCTCCTGGAGAGGAACCAGCCCAAGCCAAACCCCAAACCCGCAGCAATAGGTGCAGGGAAGGGCAGCCAAAGGGTTTCCCCCGGCCCTTCCAGCTCTCAGCCCTCCTCGGCTGGCTGCATGGGCAGGAAGGGGGCCGAGGGGGTTATTTGGGAAGGGGTGCGGGTCCGCGATGCGCAATGGGGTCCGGCACAACTTTGCACCTGGGCACCACTGCACACACCTGGGCACCCCAACACGCACCCCAACACCATGACATGTACCCCAGCACCCACCCCAGCACCCCAACATGCACCCCAGCACCCCACTCAGCCCCACCTGGCGATGGATCCCATTAAACAGGTGTACCCCCCCCTTCGCCACAGCTGAAACCCAACAGGTTGGCTGCAACAACCCCCCAAAGGAACCCCTCCAAACCGAGCTGCACCGACACCACCAGCCGACAACAATACCCACCGGGGGTACCACTGCCTTTAAACCCCCCCCCCGGCCACCCAGACCCCAAAAGGCGACCCGCACCGAAGGGCGACCCGCATTGCATGGGGTCGGCTGATCCCGTCAGTCCATCAGGAACGAGGAAATCGCCCCCGGAGCCGTGCCCGGAGCACAGGTGGGAGCCCAGCCCGGCTCCGAGCCATGGGGCCGCGATGAGCCCGGCACCCGCAGCCCCTTGGGGGGCACCGAGGGGCGGCTGCGTCCCGGATCCCACCGGGTTGGGGCTTCGGTGAGCAAAAAGGGCCCCCCCCAGGCGGTCAGCACCCGAGGGGGGGGCACGGAAGCGATGTGTCCTCACCCCCCCCAAGGTAAGTTTTGCCCCCCATGGGTTTTTTTTTTGGGGGGGGGGCAGCTCGGGGCTGGGCAGCCGGAGCCTCCCCGGGCCGGGCGATGCCGGCGGGGAGAAGATGGCTGCGGCCGGCTCCCCAATTACGAAACCGGTAAATCGGGCTGGGGGGGGGATAAAGAGAGAAAACGGGGGGATAAAGAGAGAAAGGGAGGGATAAAGAGAGAAAAGGGGGTAAAACAAGGAAGGGGAGGGGGGTTAAAAAGCGAGAGGGGAGGCAGCAGGTAGAGCTTTGGTGCCGAGAGCGCGCGCGGCGCTTTTTTGGAGAGCTGCTCCTTGCCAAACAAACCGCGATGCGCTAAACCCCGATAACCCGCGACCCCCCCAGCCCTTAAACCACCCCCCCCCGCTTCTCCCGAAGCCGGCGGGCACCCACCTTGCGGGCCGTGCTCCATGGCCGGGTCGCTGCCCAGCTCGGCGAGGCGGCGGCCGGTGGCGGCCAGCTCGGCGCGCAGCGCCGTCACCTCCTGGCCCGCCGCCTGCAGCGCCCCGTCGATGCGCAGCGCCAGCTGCTTGTTGTCGTCCATCATGTGCAGGATTTTGGCCTGGGGAGGGGTGCGGGGGGGGGGGGAAACGGGGACGGGGAGGGGTAGGGGGGGACGGGGGGAGGAAGAGGAGGAGAGAGGTGAGAGAGCGGGAGCGGCGGGGGGAGCGGGGAGGGGCGGGGAGAGGGGAGGGGAGAGGGAGGGGTTGGGTGGGAGGGGGAGAAGGGGGGTGGGGGGGGGTTGAAGGGGGGTGGGAGGGAATAAGGGGGGGTAAGGGGGTGTAAGGAGGGAATGGGGTTGGGTATGGGGGGGTGCAGAAGGGAGTAGGGTTGGGCATGGGGGGTGTAAGGGGGTGCAGGAGGGAATGGGGTTGGGATTGGGATTGGGGTTGGGCACGGGGGGTGTGTGCAAGGGGGGGCAGAAAGGATACGGGTTGTGCAAGGGGGTGTCGGGTGCAGCAGGGAATGGGGTTGGGCGCGGGGGGGCTGTGCAAGGGGGTGCAGAAGGGAACTGGGTTCTGCAAAGGGGGGTGCAGGAGGGAATAGGGCTGGGCAAGGGGGGTGTAAGGGGGGGCGGGAGGGAATGGGGGTGTGCAAGGGGGGGCAGTGCAAAAGGGGGTGCAAATGGGAATGGGGTTGGGCACGGGGGGCAGTGCAAGGAGGGGTGCAGGAAGGAATAGGGTTGTGTAAGGGGTGTCAGGGGGTGCAGAAGGGAATTGGGCTGTGCAAGGGGGTGCAAAACTGGATGCAGACGGGAATAGGGTTGGGCAAAGGGGGAACAGTGCAAGGGGTGCAAAAGGGAAGGGAGGCTGTGCGGGGGGGGGGGGGGGGGGGGCAACCCAAAAAAAAGCCCAAAAGGGAATAGGGGGGCAAAAGGGAACAGCAATGTGCAAGGGGGGTGCTATGGGGGAACAGCACAAGTACAAGGGGGTGCAAAAGGAAACAGATTTGGGGGGGGGGGGGGTGCCCCTATCTGCTGCTCCCCCCGAGGCCCCCCCAGCACGGAGTGGGCGTGCAAAGGTCGGGGGGTGGTGGTGGTTTTTTTGGGGGGGATGGGGGCGATTCTGGGGGGGCAGCGCTGCGGCAGCCGCTGCATTTGTCCCGTGCCCCCCCCCCGGGATGCTGCGGGGAGCGCTGCAGTGCGGCCGGGCTGCCAGGTGCTCCCGGGAGCGCTAATTAAGCGGCTCTCTGCTAATTGGGCTCGGGTGCACGGCCATGCCCCGAGGCTGTGCGCAGCAGGCAGAGGGAAAATGGGCTGACCGGAAAATAAAATTAAAAAAAAAAAGATCCAACTGGACTGATTCTTTTTCTTTTTTCTTTTTTTTTGGGGGGGGGGGGGGGGAATAAAAAAGCAACCTGTGTGCAGGCAGCCAAAGTGTGGGGACCCAGGGAAAATCCCAACCCCATTGGAAAAAGGGGAAAACAGCCCTGCCTGCATCTGTAGGGATTCACTAGACCCTTCCAATGCTTGCCTAAACCCAGACTTTTGGGGGAAAAAGCTGGGAATTTGGCTTTGGCTTCTGCTGCTGTGCAGGGACAGAGCGTGGCTTCGCCCAGAGCTGCAGAGCAAGCACGTGTGTGTGTGTGTGCGTGTGGATAAAAACCACGTGTTGTGCCCCAAAGGGTGGGTGAAGAACCCACAAGGGGAATAAATGTGCTTTCTTACATCTTTTGGCTTCTCTGTAGGCACATGTGCAAGAGGTGAGGTTCTCTGAGCACATACGGAAATTGAATTTGAGATAAATGCCCGGTTTGTATCAGTATTTGCTGCAATTTCTGCTTGCAAACGAGACGGTTTTGTACGGAAGCAGATCACCTGCCCGTGCAAACGCAGCAGCGAGTATGCAAAAACTTGGGCATTGCACTTGAATGAAACCTGAACTTCAGCAGGAATGAAGTCAGCTTTCAAGCACAGGCACATTATTTTTATCATAAAAAAAGTCGGGTTAAAACTGATTTGAGTCTTCCGAGAACACATTCAGCTGCTGAAGCAAAGCCCAAATTGAGCTTAGGCTAACCTCAGGAACAGACTGGTTGAATTGCTATATTGGCAGTGCTTAATTATTATTTTTTTTTAATTTACCAATGCAAGAGAATTTCTAGGCTAGTGTATGGTATCTAATAAATAAATAAATAAACATTCCTTAAACTTTGCTGTGGACTCCACATTTTAATTACTTTGCTTTAAAAATCTCCCTTACTGCTTGAAGTCCTTTGGAGATTAGCCTGAAGACATCTCCGCAGACTTTCTCCCCTTCCGTGCACCCCCTCCCGTCCCCGCAGGGAACAGCTGGGTCCATTTAAAATGGATTTTGATCTCAAAGCAGGATTTGGTTTCTCTGAGCTTCCCCCTGACCGGAGGGTGCGGTGATCCCGAGGCATGGGCGAGCTCTGCAGGAGGCAGCACAGCTCGGACCTGGCTGGAAACTGTGGGGTTTGCTGTGGGGTTTGCTGGGTTCCCTTTGGGGCTGGAACCGGGACCGTGAGGTGCCCTGCAAGCACCACTGCTGAGGATAACCTGGGGCTGTGCTGATTCCTGGCCAGAAGGCGAAGCCCTTGCTTAAGTCCTCAAGATGAAACGAAGCATTAAGAAATGAATTCATTCCCTTTCTCCTATTAGTTTTGAATTAACAAAAAAAAAAAAAAAAAAGAGAGAGAGCTAATTAAATAGACAAAATTAGAAACATATTATTTCCCCAAATTGCCTTTTTTTTTCTTTTTTTTTGTATTATTCTAGCTTTGACTGGGTGCGCAACAGCTCCGTGGTGTCCCTAAGGGACGGGAGTCCCTGGTGGTGCGGATCTTTCTGCACGGCTATCCTTGAAGTGCTGAAAACCCCCTCAGTTTTGGGTGACGTTCCTGTAGTAGCATCACATCCCAGCTTGCTATTTAAAATACCTGGATGGCATAAACACGGATGGAGGAAGGTTTGGGAACACTGCCCACCCTGCTTGCCCTCACTTCAGCCTAAGTTGTTCGGTGAAGGGAAGATGAGGAGGTTTAGGAGGTGGAAAAGGGTTGGGCACTGCTCGGGCTTTCCAAACTCTTCAATTTGCTATTGATTACCACTTTCTGTAGTTTAATATGTACAGTATGCAAAGGAACCACTTTAACTAAATGGAGAAAGCCTTTTGTGTTAGGAATGAGCATAATCTAATGCGGCCCTTTGACTTGATTCAATTAAATCCTTTCTTTTCCAATTAAACAATCAGCCAGAATTTGATAAAAATGAATTTCTACATGTCGTCCTCCAGCACGATGACCTCTGAGATTGTGTGGGCTTATGTAAATTCTGCTGATGGCTTTTTATCTGCTCGTGTGTCATTCCACGAGCACACACAAAAATGCCTTCTCTTGGTGTATTTACATTATTTCCTCATCTGCTCAGCGTATCTCTGTTTGCAGTGACAATTCCCAGCTGGAGAGGCATTGAGCATCACCAGCCTCCTCCAACGCCGCCTCTGGAGCCGACTCTGGCTGGGACGAACCCGGGGGCTGAGCTGCTCCTCCATTTCACCAGGCCCTGCCCTGCCACAGTGCCAACAGCAGCAATTTGGCCTGGCCCAAATGTCACCAGAGGCATCTGCGCAGTCATTTATTCGCTAAGAAAGCACACCCCAAAAAAATCCAACTGTCCACGAGACCAGCAAACTCGGGCCTGAAGTTAGGGAACTTTTCCAGCACTTTTTCTAAGCTATTTCCACCCAAGTTACAATAGCTGCTGAAGTCTACATTTATTTTTTTCCTCCTACGAAGGTCACATTTTTATTTGTCTATTTATAACTGCATTTAACCCCCCTTCCCTTCTTCCTCTTAAAGTATTGAGCACCGGCTCTTTGCTTCCCCCGCTGGAGTTATCGCGGCATCCTAATGCAAGCCCTGCGGATGTGCCAAAGCCAAAACGTTTGTGCTTCAGTTTATAAATTACTGAAGTCATACATTACAAGAAGGGGAGCAAATGCTAGCCAAGGATGGGCAGGTTCCACGTTGGGGTCAGTGTTGGTTACCCCACGATGCCCCAAGGAGACGTCCCCATCCCAGCTGCTGTGTGGGTGAACGCGTCCCGCTGACCTTAGGAGGGGACCCCCGAAATAAAGCCATTCCTGGCGATAAAGTGTCCCAAACTGGGGGAATTACTTTGCTGTGGCCAGATAGGAGGTGAACACAGCAAAAGCAACCCGAGATCCTAACTTCCCGGCATGGACACACCCCAGTTACCATGGTGTGAACCTGGAGGAATCCCCCTGGGAAAGGGGAATGGAGAAAAATGCGATGCGAGGGATTTGTCTCCAGTAAACCCATTTTATGTTAATAGGAAGCAGATTTTGAGCCCCCTCGCAAACAAATGACTTCCATAGCATATTTCACAGCTGAGCGCATCGATGGCACCAGCCTTTATGTGCAGCTCTGTTAAACCCAACATTTGTTTAATGAATTGCAGCAATCCGATGAATCCTTGTACGGCCAAGCCTAGACTTGAGCTTTTATGGGAAGACATCAGGTTTTCTCCCCGGCTGATACCTAGGAACCATTACACATCCCTCGCCAGGTCAGGGTTACTCCGTATGCATCTAAAAGGGGAATTAAGCTGGTGAAACTAGCAGGGTCAAACGCTGTGGAGGTGCTGCAGCTCTTTGTGGGATGACCTCCTCCTCATCCTCATCCCCAGGGTCAGCGTGGATACCATGACAAAACTCCATCCTGCTGTTTGGACATATTCCTTGCTACAAACCACACATGAAATGCTCCTTTCATGGCACAGAGAAGTGATGATGATATGGTGCTGGGATAATTCAGCTTCCTTACGCTGGTGGCCACGCAAGCCTGCAGTGGGAGCGCGTATCCTGCACGAGGAGCAAGGAGAGGGCATGCGGAGCAAACCCTGCATGCACGATACCCTCGTGCTTGGTAGCAATGGTGAAAGCTGCATGGCACTTTGGTAAAACTGCTTGAATTTCCAAAATACCTTTCCATAAGTGAAGAAAGAAGTAAGAAGCAAAGAGAATGCGCATCAGGCAAAGTCCATATGAAATGCCATTTCATCTTCCTTCCGCGGTCACA